AGCAGAGATTTCTCAACTCTTCTTCAAGTTTATTGTTCGATTATCCTTATTATTGGAAGGAGTTGCAGTTGTTCATCGTTTTTTTATTAGTATTAATATCATTGTTGTTATGATTGTTATCATCATTATTAGTAGTATCGTTATTATAGTTATTATTATCGTCATCGTCACCGTCATCAACTTCTTCATCATCATCATCATTATCATTATTATTATTATTATTATCATTATTATTATTATTATTATTATTATTATTATCATTATCATCATTATCCTTATTATCATCACCGTTATTATCCTTACTATTATTATTGTTGTGATTTTCATAATCATAATTAGTTTTATAAGTAGTAGTAGCGTCATTATCATCCTTATCGTGACTATTACTATTATCATTATTTTTGTTACTACTCATTGCTGTCATTATTATCGTTATTATTATTATTATTATCATCATCATCATTATTATTATTATTATTATTATTATTATTATTATTATTATTATTATTATTATTATTATTATTATTATTATTATTATTATCATTATTACTATTATTACTATTATCATCATTATCCTTATTACTACTAATTGTTACTATTATTATCGTTATTATTATTATCATTATTATTATTATCATTATCATTATTATTATTATCATTATTATCATTATTATTGTTATCATTATCATTATTACTATTATCACCACCATTAACATTGCTGTTGTTATCGTCTGCTGCTCATTGTTCATCATTATTATGATAAACACAAACTTTACATCGTTGTGATTATGATTATCATTAACATTATATTATTATTATGGTTATCAACACATTCATCATCATCAGTATTCTCATTCAGTTTTATTATTATTGTATATATTAACGTAATTCAGAAAATAAAAGCAAATTTTCTTAAACAGACAAATCTGCGCCGATTTGAACAAAAGCAAATCACCAGCAAAAAATAGAGAATGCTCACCACTACATATTTCTGCTTCTGCCTGGTAAAATTATTTTATTTTTCTTTATTGCACCATCTATTTGCAGGATCAGATGTCAGCCTGGAATATTGATAAGAACGGATCGGGATGTTGAAAATGCGTGCATGTGGACAGTTTGTTGAAAACCTTGAGTGGAGGAAAAGTATGTTGGTTTATATACTGCGTCTGCGCGGAATGCTTGATTTCTTTATAAGATGATGTTGCATAGATGGCAAAAAATTAAAATTCCTTCATATGCTTAAATATGTGTTTGTGTCATTATGTCTAGTAAATCTTTCAGAATATATGTATATATATGGTATGAGCATGAAAACAAAAAAGACTATAAAAATATTTGAAGTTAAATTTATATACGTAAACATTTAAGAGAGCAAAGTTATCATCGCAAATTGCCCAAAAACACGAAACATTCAAGCACAAACATCCGTAAAGAATTTCTTAATAAAACTGCATTAACAAAAATATTAGGAGGTTTCAATATCAACTCTTTTCCGTTTTTTTTATACAGAAATTCTCCAACAAAGCAAGAACACCAATACATAAGCCAAAATACCATTCTCTACTATTCCCTCTCACCTTACCGAAACAGCAACCTCCCCAGAAATTCTAAAAAAGCAGACGACAGACGAAGGATAACTCACTCACCTGCAACTGTTAAATGAAAACAAAAGTACTGCCAGTCTGGACGCGGGTAAGGCACGTTCTCCGAGGCACCGAAGGCCGATGTCTAAAGATATCGATAAAAAAAATCCTAAAAA